TTGCACACTGACTCATTCATTAAAATAGGCATATTTACAATATTATTATGAGGATAAACAAAGTTTGCAAAGATACTGGTTCTTCAAAATGCAATTTTTTTTGGTATTTCAAAATAACTTAATTTTAAGACTACAAAAGTCAATAGTCTAAAGAGCTGCATTCAGACAGCATGAAATCAGTTCCACATGAGATCAGGGTTGCTGGCAGGGTCACAAAATGAAAACAAAAGCGGAGCTTAAATAATTGTTCTGACAGAACTTACTAAACTATTTTGCATACTCAAGAAATAAAGAAAAGGAGAAAGAGGGAGGACAGGAGAGGATCCAAAATCAAAAGAATTTAACTGCAGGGTGTGTATCCACTCCCAATCCTTTGAGCTAAGCTGAAGTGCAGTGCAAATTCATTAAAGATTCCTGAAAGCACTGGAATAGCATCAAAAGCCGAATTAGCTAAAATATTAGGTTTAAGTTTAATTAAAATTAAAGCACAAAACGATTAAGCAAATGAAGAAGGGACACAGTTTGAACAAAAAGAATCATCTTCTTTGCATTCTAGTTTGCTTAGTTGTATTTCATTACTTTATTCTAATAGCAGAACAAATTATTTGTTCCTTTCCTGCCAGGCTAGTGGTGGAAGTCCCTCTGAAGCTGAGAAGGGCAAAAGAAAGCCCCACTTCACAAACAGAAGAACACTTGCATAATTATGGCTGTATCTCATTAAAAAGTTTTAATATTATAATGGCAGTAATCTGATCCATAAGTATCCAATAAGTGAAACAGTATTTTCACCTCGATCAACAAATCACTTGAAATAGGTATTTCAAACTGCTTGGTTTCAATAGAAATAATAAAAAGTTATCTTCTTCTACATGCTGTTCTGCATCTAAAGGATGTCAAAACCTTGAAGGAAAAATAGCAAATTACAACTATTTAGTCCTAAATGCTGAAGTAATTAAGATCTTGTTTATACAATTATCAATCATATGAATGCTCTAAAAAAAAGTAAATGGTAGATGAGGGAGCACCTGTTCAGGTTTCATCCAAGCAGCAGTGAGGAGACTGTAGAGGACTGTCAGGTTCAGCCTGCACCGCACGCCTAGGAACTTGCCCAGCCGCGCTTTAGTCAATTTCACCGCTCGAGCGC